CTGTATTTTTGTGCGACAGAAATACAAAGCGTGGGGCACGCGTATACCCCATTCGATTTTCTTACTCATCGGGATCTCTACCAGCCTACCCTCAAGTTGAAATTCTTTTAGGCAGGATTAGAGTAAATTAATCTATGAGACCTTGGGCGTGATCAAGCACATCAGTCGAAAGTGTTTGACCTCCTGAGTACAAAACTGTAATTAGATCTCAAATCGGTCAAGAGATGACGGAGCTATAAGTTAAAAGTTTGTACTTGAAAAAAACAAGAAAAAACTCAGAGCTGTTCTATGAGCCGTTCAGCCGCGACTAAGATTCTGACATTCTTATGTAATATAAATAGATTATTTGACCAACCTAAACTGGACTTCTGAAAAGCTAACGTTGTAGTCATCACCTGGACACGTGGTTCAGCGGTAAATTTAAGGACTTACTACGCTTAAATCCGGGATTCGAGTCCTTGCTGCGGACAGAACGCAGATAGCTCATTATACAGCTTTGCACTAACAAAACAAGAACGTTTTTTTTTACTTTATTTGTTAGACTTTAGTTATAAATAGAAGACACTAAAATACAAACTCACCACCAATCCTGAGTTCAGATGCTACTTGAGCTGTACCTAGTTGATTACGGACAAAACACTGATACATTCCTTTATCTTGCCTCTCTACTGGGAAAATTCGAAGCCCGTTACCTCCAGTTAGATGAGCTCTATCGTTCCACTGTAGAGGCATGTTGTCTTTCTTCCAATCTATCGATAAGATCGGGTATCCAGAGTAATTACAGTTAAACGACGCTGTTTTTCCAACATCTACAATCTGGTATCGAGGATAAATCTTGACAGACAAGGGTGCTATTAAGATAAAAGTAAGACCCCCTTTAACACAAAGAACCAAAGAACACACAAAAATAAAAGCAATTTACAATCGATTGTTGTTGTTGTTATCTTCTAGCGTTTTAAGCAGTTCGTACAAGATAACAGTTTGAGAAGAAGCTTTAAATTAAACGTATATCAATACTTGATGGTCAATCTCAACATCCACATTCGGCACTAAATTTTAAAAACAAGCTTTCTCTTCTTTTATCATGCATTCGGATTTAAAAACAAAATCGACATGAAATTATTCCAAATCGCTGAATTTCGTCAATGCAAAGAAGAAAGTAAATTGTTACACGATTTGTTTTACTAGAACAACGCGAAATGGTTAACAAGATGGATGATGTATAACTTTATTGACTTTTTACAACGAGCTATTTTAAGTAGGGTAAATACACGAGTAATTTCCGGAGACTAGAAATTTCGGATAAAAATGAAAGACAAACAACTTGAAAAATAAAACTTAATTATCTAGCAAAACATAACTGTTCTAAAAAAAATTAACAAAGTAATTACTAAAAAGAATATAAAAACAAAAACACTCTTAACAAAATGACTAGGTGCCATTTCAAAACAGTTCAAATTAGTGACGTAGTTATTGGGGCGTACAGGGCAATCGTCCCCTTGGAACGTTGTAGAAAAACAGAATTCGGAAATTAAAAAATTAAAAAAATAAACGCTCCCTTAGATCAGCTGGAAACGTATTGCTAGCACGTGCATGAATGTTATTTAAAGTTAAGTTTAGTGACGTTTAATTCTTGTACCCGGTATTTGAAAAAAATTCAAATGTCCCCCGCCCTCCCCGGAAAAACATTCTATGTGCGCTGTAGGTTCAAATATTATAAGCTTCTAAGAACCTATGAGTAAAAGCATAAGAAAATACGTTATAACACCACATTTGCCATAACCATTTAACAGAATTAAAAAATGAATCTGTTGTATTCGTATCAGTGTGATGCAGCCCCCCAGTGGCACAGCGGTATGTCTGCGGACTTACAACGCTAGAAACCGGGTTTCGATACCCGTGGTGGGCAGAGCACAGATAGCCCTTGTGTAGCTTTGTGCATAATTAAAAACAAACAAACAAACAGTGTGATGCAATATAATAAATGACATAAGACCAAAATGCTATAAAGTATGTAAATTTGGAATCAGTGTTTGTTAAAGAACGAATTTATTTTCATTGTTAAATGCCTAAAAAATAAAAAAAAAAACGTCCGCTTTTAACCAAGAATTATAAGAGAATACGCTATTGAAATATATTTCGTTAAAGAAATAAGTAAGCCGTTCATTTATAAAGGAAATGGCAACTGAACTACTAAACAATTAATATAATTATGCAGTTAAACACTGGTAGAACTGAAAAAAAACAACAACAAAACATGATCAATGCTTCAAAATTAAATACCGTTAAATGTGTTTGTTAGTAGTTATGCACAAAACTACACAATAGACTACCTGTGCGCTGCCAGTCACGAGTATAGAAACACGGTTTCTAGCGTTGTAAGTCTGCAGACATACCCCTGTGCCACTGGGTGGCTATTAAATGTGAAAAAAACTTTAATATTTAATATTGTTTAGGGCCAAACTTTATACTAGATTAAATAAAGGATAAAAAATACCACTTAATCATATAATACTTTAAGTGTCGGTTGAACTAAAAACAACAACAAACAATCAGTAACATTAGTAACAGTAAGAAAACAACAACAAACAATCAGTAACATTGGTAACAGTAAGAAAACAACAACAAACAATCAGTAACATTAGTAACATTAGAAAACAACAACAAACAATCAGTAACATTGGTAACAGTAAGAAAACAACAACAAACAATCAGTACATTAATAACAATAAGAAAACAACAACAAACAATAGGTAACGTTGGTAACAGTAAGAAAACAACAACCGCTGTTAAGTTATCTTTATAAGATTTAATTTATAACGCTAAAACCCGGTCTTTGATATCAATTGTGGGCACAGCAAAGATAGCCTATTGTATAGTTATATGCTGAACTACAAACAAACAAAGTTTTCACATACTGGATATAGTGAAAATATTGTTTTGATAAATACTGCTTTATATATTCGTATTTTAAAACGATTGGTTAACATCATAGTTTTATAATAATCTGTAAACAGTCCCATGGAAAGATGTTTTTTCGGAATTTATCGAAATCCAGAAGTCGTTATTATTAAAAGAGCTGAAGACCCCTGAACAAGAAACGTATAGGAAAACACTAGAGCAGTGGTTTCAGGCTCGCGTACCACTTTTGGTTTATTTTTAAATCACAAACCCAGGCCTAATTTCTTTAAAAAAAAGATAAAAGCCAAGTAACAAAAATTCATATTTTTAACACATACCTATTAATGTGAATGATTGTTTTTTTTCTGGCACGATTGAAGAATATGTGGTACCATTTTTGTCAATTTTAAGGAATGAAAATACTGGCGAGTCTATGTAAGTAGAGGGTGAGTCTATAAGTGAGGAGAGTAGTATGTATATGTACGTGGAAAGGTCAGATAGGGCTTATTACAAATTGTATGATTTTTAACATTAATCGTGTCGTGTACCACTGACATTAGCTCCACGTACCACCAGTGTTACGAGTACCAAAGTTTGAGAATCCCTGCAGTAGAGAGTACTCAAATGTGCTTTTTAACTATTGCGTCCTCTATTTCTTACGACATGCGCGTCAACAATTCCATCAAGTTTCTGTGGGCATGCGAGAATGCACATCTGTTTTTTTTTAATCAAGCCCATACGGGCTACAGCCCCAGAAGTTACCAACCGTCTTTCACTAAGATTAAACGCTTCTTGGGTCTGAGCTCTGGATCCTTCCCAGCAACGCCTCTGGGTTAAAAATGTATTCAACGCTCATCACTTGACACAAGATTTAGATTGATTATGTTTGTTACTTTGTGGTTTCACTAAGATTAAACGCTTCTTGGGTCTGAGCTCTGGATCCTTCCCAGCAACGCCTCTGGGTTAAAAATGTATTCAACGCTCATCACTTGACACAAGATTTGGATTGATTATGTTTGTTACTTTGTGGTTCGTCTCCTCACTTGTCAGTACAGAAAAACCGTAGTTCTGAAATATTAGTTAATATATAAGTAATCGTTCTCTCCTGAGAGTAAAAGCTGTAGGTCAAGCCTAAATATGACAGCATAAGATCTAAGTATAGGTTATAAACGTCAATTGAATATGTGCCTTAGTCTGCTCATCATTTACTATAGAATAGGTATAGATTAATAGCAATGTTTTAGTTGGAGGACAATATAGTATGATTATAGGTTGGTAACATGCTAATCAACGCTTAGGTTTCTTACTTAATTTATTCATGTAATGGAAATGTAAGTCTGTCTATGTCCGGTTCTTTAGAACAGATTGAAATGCCAGAAATTACACGTTCAGACAACTTATCTGAGGCAGATATGCATTGAAACTCCCAGATAACACACATGTACTCCATTCACCTGAGACAGATACAGTTTGAACTTCTCAGATAACACATGTCTACCCTTTTAATCTGAGGAAGATATAGGTTGAACCTCTCAGATAACACACATGTACTCCATTCACCTGAGACAGATACAGTTTGAACTTCTCAGATAACACATGTCTACCCTTTTAATCTGAGGAAGATATAGGTTGAACCTCTCAGATAACACACATGTACTCCATTTACCTCAGACAGATACAGTTTGAACTTCTCAGATAACACATGTCTACCCTTTTAATCTGAGGAAGATATAGGTTGAACCTCTCAGATAACACACATGTACTCCATTTACCTCAGACAGATACAGTTTGAACTTTTCAGATAACACATGTCTACCCTCTTTAATCTGAGGAAGATATAGGTTGAACCTCTCAGATTACACACATGTACTCCATTTACCTCAGACAGATACAGTTTGAACTTCTCAGATAACACATGTCTACCCCTTTAATTTGAGGAAGATATAGGTTGAACCTCTCAGATTACATACGTGAATTTACATATGTGAATTTCCCTCACCTGAGGCTGAAACAGATTGAATCTCTCAGATAATAATAATACACGTCTACTCCCCTCATCTAAAGCAGATAAGTTAAACATCTCAAATAATACACGTCTAAGCCTATAGTAGAAATAACTTTGGGTAATCGATATTTTTCAATTAATCTAACATTTTCATATGACGAAAGAAAAGGCATGAAATTCAACCGCCAATGAAATTCCTTCTAGTAATATGATCTTACAGCATGTCTGAGGTTTAAATCTAAGATAACCTAACACGTAATATAGAGTCTAAATTAGACCACCAACTAGCCTGCTACCTCAAACCAGATGATAACGGCAATATACAGTGCGCTATAAAAGTACCTGATAATGACAAAACCTGGTCGAAACGTTGTACATTTGCTGTTATGTTAAACTTATATTAAAGTTTTTCTTCATTACCCATTCATGCCGTCTCCAACCATTATTAGTCTCAAAGTGGGTTCCTCGTCATCGAAACAGAGTCTAAATGTTAGTTTCTCTACGTTTATCCCATTCCTGGCTTATGTTCGTTTGTCCACTAATGGCTTACTTCTTCCGCCAATAAAATGATAAGTTTCAAGTGTAAAGATTTGTAGGATGTAAATGCAGTAACTATGTACAATGACAGTCAGTGTACATTTAAAGTGTTAGTTAGATACTTTTACCTGACACAACCAGCTCGGTATCAGAACTTTCAGATCCCAGGTTGTTCCTCACCACACAGCGATACTTTCCAGTGTCTTCAGCAGTCGGTTTGTGTATTACCAATGTTCCATCCAGTAAAGTAATCGTCTTTCCACCTGTTAGCCTATCATATCCACCATGTGCGTGCTTGAACCACTCGTACGTAGGGACAGGAGAACCTTGCGCAGCACATGGAATTTCAACCATTTCTCCCTCAACCGCCAACACGTGTCGTTTAAAATCTGTTAACCTTGGAGGCATGTTTACTGCGTCTAAAAGCAACATCAATATATATACTTACAAACCTGTAGCTCAAAATAAAACTCGTCTTTTTAATTAAGAAACATCTTTATCGATATTATTTTACACTTGATTTACACATCACTATAGGTTAATAAAAGTAATGTTTTGATACATGTCGTGACCCATGTTAGTTTACCTCTCATTCTTTTGACTCTAACCCTTTTTATAGAAGTATAACCCATAATCACTACTTAACCTTCGAAATTACTCTACCTTCCTTAAATTTTAACTCGTTTAATTTCAGTTTCCTTTTTTTTTAAATACCAAACTTTCTAAACATTCTTTTTTTTTCTTTTTTGAAAAATATGGTATAATGTCTACGCCTCCTATACGAACGTAAGATATAAACCATATAATCATATATATATATATATTAAAGAGTAGTGCAATACTTTGTTTGTTGTTTACTTGTAATTATGCACAAAGCTACACAATGGACTATCTGTACTCTGCCCATCACGGGTATCGAAACCCGGCTTCTAGCGTTGTAAGTCCGCAGACGTACCGCTGTGCTACTGGGGGGCGCAGTACTTTGTATTTATTTTAATACGGGGTCAATCAATGTGGCGACCTCGTAACCATTTTGTGCTTGCTATAGTTTTCATGCTATAACTTTTAAATTAGTAAGCGAATGTTAACGAAATTTGGCAGATTATCAGTAAACATTACAATGCTTTCATACGCAAAATATATAATTTTTTTATTCAGTCGTAAGGTTTGTAAATCAGTGTTTCTCTCGTGCTTTTTTTTTCTTTTCACATCTTGCCTATCTATAATGCAAAGTAATTGTCACTTGAAGATTAAAAATATTTTTATGCATCAGAAAATTTTGAAATTTCACATGAGAAATATTTATAATAACTATCTGCTACCGTTCCTAATTTTGAACTACTGACCCAGAAGGAAGGCAAGCCAGTCACTCACCATCAACGCTACAGGAGTGACTGTCATTTCATAACCCATCCACAGCTTAAAGTTCGTGGAATATTTTGTATTTGTATAAATGATAATAAAAAATAAGTTGACACGTCTAAATGAGATTTTTTTTCTAGTTAGTTTGTGCGACGTTTCGTCTGGCAGTGTTACAATGAAACGCATTTATCCAAGTTTTTCCTATCACGTCTTGCGGAACAACACTCGTTCAAATATTTTGTATTATCACACGAATTCGAACCCGGTTCGAAATTCGGTGGTCTACCAAAGAACCCACCCGCGTTCTAAGAAGAGCAGTGATATTGGAATAAGTCTACTGTAATGAATCGCGTCAGCAACATAATAATATGAATAAAATAATCTCTATGTTACAGATTCATATATATATATATATATACCTAAACTAACATGTAAAAGCTAACATTGTTACGCCTAGTTGTCACCTTTAAAAAACACCTTTATAATTTTAGCAATAGACCAATAATTGCATACCAATGTTTTTCGGTGCTGAACACAAACCTTTATCTGTTTATTTATTGCTTGCCCATATTTACTTAAACTGATAACAAATTAAATAAGTTGCGTGTTTACAATATGTACTTTGATTGGGGGTGGTATAATTGTAGTAATTTTTATTACCGGCATTTATTGTATTCCGATTGCAAGAGAAAAACATTTACAGAACTTTCGCTATCTGAATGTTTGTTAAAATGGTTATTTAAAGTTTGTTTGTAAGTAAGCACAAAGCTACACTATGGGCTATCTGTGCTCTGCCCACCACGGGTATCGAAACCCGGATTCTAGTGTTGTAAGTCTGCAGACATACCGCTGTGCCACTGGGGGAGGTTATTTAAAGTTTGTTTGTAAATGAGCACAAAGCTACACTATGGGCTATCTGTGCTCTGCCCACCACGGGTATCGAAACCCGGATTCTAGTGTTGTAAGTCCGCAGACAT